GTTACTGGAGAGAGTCCAGCGGAGGGCTATGAGGATGGTGAGGGGACTGGAACATCTCTCCTGTGAGGAGAGGCTGAGGGAGCTGGGCTTGTTAAACCTGGAGAAGAGAAGGCTGAGAGGGGACCTTCGAAATGCCTCTAAATATCTGCAGGGTGGGGGTCAGGAGGATGGGGCCAGACTCTTTTCAGTGGTGCCCAGCGACAGGACAAGGGGCAATGGGCACAAACTGAAGCAGAGGAAGCTCCAGCTGGACATCAGGAAGAACTTCTTCCCTCTGAGGGTGACGGAGCTCTGGAACAGGCTGCCCAGGGAGGCTGTGGAGTCTCCTTCTCTGGAGATATTCAGACCCTGCCTGGACAAGGTCCTGTGCAGCCTGCTGTAGGTGACCCTGCTTTGGCAGGGGATTGGACCAGAAGTTCCACAGAGCTCCCTTCCAACCCCTACCATTCTGTGATTCTGTGATTCTGTGACAGACATCTTCCGGCACCCATTGACCCTTACCCAATCATACTCATATCTCACAGTTCTCTACACAGGCATTTCATATAGTAATGACTTGTATGCTTAATTTGCAGCTGTCTGTTGTTAGGACAGGTAAAATCCGCATGCAGTGACAAGAGAATTGCGAAGCAATTATTTGTGTTTGTGAAATTTTGCAGAGTCCCCTTAGCCAAGGTTTTGTCTACCAGTTTGTTCAGACAGACTGAACTTTCACAATCAAGCACTTAATTAACGCTTTGTGGATTCCTTATGTAAGTCTCATCAGTTAATTATCATTACAGGTTTTTTTCTGTGATTTATGTAGCATGAATATACAATATTTATCATAAATCACATTGTATATGTAACAACTTATTTTCCAAAAATTTATCAGTTCAGTAAGCATTTTAAATGCTCCCGCAGAGAATGACATTTTATAAATATGCCCAGTGTATGTAATTATATTAATTATATACTAATTATGATGGCATTTATTATTTTCGTTTTGTGATTGGTGCTATGTGAACAAAGGCAAAGTTTGTTTTGCTTAAAAGAACACAGGAATATCCTACCATATAATTGTAACTGTCCTGTGTAGCTTGAAAGAACACAGAAAAACTGCTAACTCCGTTGTTGGACATTGACGGGAAGAAAACATTAAACAGATGAATACGCTATTTGGAAAAAAATCCACAGTTTGTGAAAAGATTTTCCACCCTTACTGGTTGTCCTTTCCTCTCTTAACTTTTGCATTGGATTGAAAACGAATTCAAGATGCTGTTTGTCACCTTATGCCAATAAACATTCTTCAAATTGCTTGCCCTTGTAGTTCTGACTTGGCTGTGCTTCACTGCGAGCACTTCCAGACAGCAAAATCCCTGAACTGATTTATGCCATTATGCTCAAGGATTGTTGATTCTACTAATTCTGACAATCTGGTGAACATTGTTCTCAGTCATCCAACTGAGCCTGCTTTCTAAGAAATTGTACCTCATCCTTTCTCGGTGTTTGCTTAGCCCTATTTACCTATCTCACCTCATTTGTCACAGAAGGACACTTCAACATCGGTGCTGCTGCAAAGATGTAAGGGGGCTTGCCTAATTCACCATTTCCTGTGAGGTGACATTTCTCTCTTGATAATTATAAGTTCTTGTCTTCAGCCCCTTTTGATGTTCCAAAACGTAATCAATGAAACACAAATAGTGGAGCTAATTTTAGCAAATCCCTCCCTGTTGCCATGCTGCAGCAGTAGCCAGTTCTACAGAAGAATAAAACGTACAGTCTATTCCCCAGTTGCTCAGGTGGAGGAACAAATGTACAAGCTGTGATTTTTCTGATGTAGAATGCAAAACAATTACGAATGCTAATAACACTCTAATGAGACAATGTGAACTTCAGTGAAGCTTTTTTCTTTTAGAATGAGGCAATTAACTAAAATCACCTTCCCCAAACTGGGGTGCTTTTGTTTATTTCTTTGTTTATTCCTTCATTTATGTTTAGTGATAATCTGTGGATATCTGGTAAATATTAACTGCAAAATACTTTAAATAAAGTCTTTCCCAGCTCAGCGAGAAAAATTCTCTTTTGCTCTTTGCCTTTTTCCTGCTTTCTAGGAGTGCCCACAGCTTTCATTTTCAGAATGGCTGCATCCTTTCATATAATTTCTTTTTCAAAGCTGATAAGCAGTCTATAAATCATTTTTAAAAATAAGCATTAAACTTACTGTAAGCGAAGTGCTTGTCTCACTGCAATAAATTTATAGAAAATTTAAGGTACCATGAAATCCACAAAGGAGGAGAATTCAGGCAAGAGTGACAGCAAGCTCATGACATTCAGTCTGGTTTGGTTATTGAACTGCCACTTTTGCTGTTGATTTACTCCACTGTAGCAATGGCTCAAAAAAGTACAAAGAGTCCACCTTTTGTCATAATTTTACTCCATGTGAGAACTGGCAAGTGAGGACTACGCAAGTTTAGTTCTCTCCTCAAAAGACACCTTTTAAATTTTTTTTAACTTCTTTTTGGGCAACAAATTAGAAAATGCTAAAAGAAGAAAATTATTTTTGCTCATAAATGGCTACCATAAAATCATACACTCATAGAATCATACCATGGTAAGGGTTGGAAGGGACCTTAAGGATCATCTGGTTCCAACCCCCCTTCCATGGGCAGGGACCCCTTCCACCAGCCCAGGGTGCTCAGAGCCCCGTCCAACCTGGCCTTGAACCCTGCCAGGGAGGGGGCAGCCACAGCTTCTCTGGGCAGCCTGGGCCAGGGCCTCACCACCCTCATGGTGAAGAATTGCTTCCTAATGTCTCATCTAAATCTGCCCCCTTTCAGTTTACAGCCATTCCCCCTTGTCCTATCCCTACACACCCTTGTGAAAAGCCCCTCGCCATCCTTCCTGTCGGCCCCTTGAGGTACTGGAAGGCTGTATTACAGATATTGCAGATTTGGCATGGGAAGAACAATAGAATACAGAAAGGCACCCTTAGTGTGTGCTCGTAACATAAAAGTGCAGAGTGCATTTGAAAATACAGGCTTATGCTGTAGCAACATATATTTGTATGAGGTGACATTTGCCAGGAGGAAGACTTCTGAATTTCAGACATTAGTATAAGGCAAATATTTCAGGCTAAGTTCACTCTGTGGTCACAAAAAGTCTTTTGTATCTTGCTTACACCTTTCCTTCTCCATTCAAGAAAGCCTCATCCTTAAAAAATTGAGTAAAGATATCAACATTCTACAACTTACCAAAATCTCCCTATAAAGCTAAGAAACAAGACAGTGCAATACAAAGGCACAGGAACAATCAGACAGGTGAGGATGATCTGATGTAGCCTTTGTTCTTACTCTGCAAATGGACCAGATCATCTCTGAGGTCCTTTCTGCTCCTGCATTTCAGTGAATATGTGGGTAGTAGCTATGTGTGTAGTACAAATACTAATATTGAATGTGAGCCTACAAATGCAAGAAGCTAGAAAGTGAAGAAGAATTAAAATATGAAGCTTTGGACTTTGTTGTTGTAACAACTATTAAAATATGATAAAATGCTAAGCATAAGTACTATAGCCAGCAACATGCAGAAGATGGAAAGATTAGGACAAAAAGGTGAGGAAGTTGTCCTAGAGTTTAGAAAGAGAAGATCCTTGATCTGGACTAAATACTTGAATCTGTATAGGTCCAACTGTACAGTTAAATCTGGGTTTTCCTATAGACTTTTTTTTCGCCTGGAAATGTTTCTCCGTTACCTTTTGATAACTAAAAATTGTTTGGATTTTCTGGATGTTTCCGTTCCCCATATCTGCACTTATCTGCACGCTGCTTGCATTTGATTATCCCATTCACCCACTTCTGTATGCAGTGATCAAGACTGACACTCTCAGATTTGTATGAAACAAGTCAGTGATCAAGCAAATGCACTACGCTTACAGCCTCACAGAGGGCACAGTGACTGCGTAAGTGACACGGAATCTGTTCGTCGATGTTGCTGTTTCCCAGACAGATGTATTTAAGTCCCATTTAAGTATAAATCCGTTACTAATTTTGTCTTCCAAATCAAGACGTGTATTAAGTATACCATGATGAGAAAGACAAATGTTCATTTCCCAGACATTTAAATCAGCCATTTAGACAGCAGTAGCACCTAGACTTCCTAAATGACAACGCACAAGCTTTGCTAACATTGTCATGGGGACCAATTCAAGCATAGAGATATCTCCAGCACTCCTTTACTGCCCTGGCATTGCTTCCTCACTCTGCAAGAATACAAATTTGAGACCTATTCTCAATCAAAAGGAGCACATTGTAGCTGAGGGCTGGGTTCATCTATGTTTCAGATAATTTCTGTCTTTTGGGTCTTTCTAACTTCAAGAATTATTCACAGCTGAAGACCTGCACCTTCAAAAAAGGGTCAGTCCCCTTCACTCTAAGTTTTACTCCTGGTAGCGCTTGTCAGCTCATCCCTCAGCAGGCTGTAAAGGATTCCCACTGAAGCACCTTTGCCCCTCAGATTTCCATGAAGAGTCTTCATGACCAACACAAGCCTGAAGCTTCACTAAATGCAATGGCATATGCAAGTTCTTAGGACCTGGCCAAAGTCTACTCCAACAAAAATAACAACAGATTTCAACTACAGTCATAAACAAGACCAGCTCTTAACAGCCATACAATTTTTTGTCACTATAAGTGATTAATCCTTGGGAAACGGAATCCTCTTGCAACTTAACATAATATAACACAAGTAGACAGGAAAGGTGAAACACTATCAAACACTGAGCCATGAAAACATGAGCTATCTTGGTAAAATGGCAATTTAAAAACATTAATTTGTCCAAAACAGTAAATGTTCAAGACGTCTGAAGTGACTTTGGTATGAAGGGAATGAGCAGCTGTGAAGAATAATAAAATTTAGAGGTGATAAAATAATCTAGGTTAGTTAACCTAAGAGAAAGTCACAATCCAAGTTGATAAACAAGAAGTACAGCTGAAAAATGTCTGTATTGAGAGAGTAGGAAGTCACATCCGCTGGAGATAATATCTAATCTTGCTAACTGTATAAAATCATGAAAAAAACCCGAAGAATAGAAAGACTATTAGTATCACTAGAGATAGAGCAGTTTAGATCTCTCTGCTCCATTTTTATGAGCAGTTGCAGCAGCAGTGTACATGACAGACCATCTACTGTAGCTTGCTAAGACCAACAAGCACAGTGGAGCTGTCAGAGAGGCCATGAGTGTTCTCAAGGAATACGAGCCTGACATAATCCCAGAAAAATGCCAGATACCACATGAATGTCACTGGGAGAGAAAGCTGCATTTAGATGTAGCCTAATTTGCAATTCTTGGTTTGGTCTGACAACCTGCATATTGCAGGGTTTGTATGGTAACTTGCGTTAGCTGCATATATAAAGCTATATGCTATAATAAATGTTCTATGGACAAATCCTATTCAAATGACAGATAAGTAGCAAAACTCATGCATCAGTGCTAAATATACATTTCTAGACGTTGGCATGACAATGTATTTTCCAAAGAACCTCATAATTTGTTATTTTAACTAACTTACATTGATACTTTTCCATAACAAATTTGATTACTCATGGTCTCCCACATTAGTTCAGTTGTTTTCTACACCATTTACTGTTCTCTGTGTGTTCAAATTCTGATAATATTTATGGATGTATATACTCCTTAATTTAATGCAAACTTGTGAAGGTTTGTTTGCCATTTTATTCCAGTCTGATGACTAAAATGCTACTGACTCCAAAAATGACAGTGTAGTTTACCCTTGCATTTCCTTTTGAAAAGACTGTTTCAAAAGACTGAATAAGAAATGCTTAGAAAAGCTATTAACACTAATAAAAACTGTTCTTCAGTGTTTTGAGTGGTAACTTCTGTCGGACGAAGTGAGATGTGGAAATCCTTACAAAGTTGTAATGGATATTAGTGGAAAAAGTCTTTATAGGGTTTGAATATTTACCCTTGGAGTTATGACACTCTAGATTTAATAAAGACAATCTAATCTGTTGTCTCTCCAGTAGCATTGAATTGCAGAGATACATGTGCTATGATATAATAGAAACACAGTCTAGGTACCAGTTACTTTTCCAGAGGTTTTGGTGAAGGGGTGAAACAGACTGAGACCAACCTGAATAAGCATCCAGCTGAACTGGCAGAGGTAAAGGTAATGGGTAACAGATGCAAGGGCAGAGCAGCTTTCCTCTGAGAGATGTTGGCTCAAGTAAGCAGAGGCCAGAAATGAAATCTGCAGTGGAAAAAAATGAATACATGCATATTGGAATTATACAGAATTAATTTAATAATAATAATAATGAGGAAAAAAATATCTCAGTTTGGAAGTAAAATTAACACTCTGTTACCATTCCAGAGACTCAGGAGAGATACCCTGGACATCCAATATTCAGCCAAAAGAAGTGATCCTCTATCACTGTCAGCCACAAAACCAGCTTAAAAATTTTTGCAGACAATCTAGTATCCTTTACATCCATATTTGAAAAGACTATGGAGATAATTAAAATTTATTGTTTAATGTTGTTGCCCAGACTAATTGCCATGCAATATTAGACAACTGTTTTGGAACTTAGCATTGAGATTTTCCTCCATAAAATAAAAAGAGACACTGTCTTCTGGTTTCAGTAAGGCCAGAAATTTTATCAAGCAAACAGACAAACTCGAGGCATTTACAGTCTTCAAACTGTCAGACACATAGCAATGCCACACCCCACCAAATAAGAACGCAACACTGGACAAAAGGGAGTAAGCCTTTCTTCTGCTACCTAAGAGCAGAAAAGGATTTCAGGCTCACAAGGCAGATACAAGTTTTTTTCCACAGACATGTGAAATGTCAAAAGACAATATGTTGGCCAGATAAGTAGCCAGTGCATTGTCTAGAGGAACAAAGGTATTCCAACTCTGACTGCAATGAACGCTACTAAACAATTTCAATATAGCCTTTAAAATTAATAAACAGCTCAGAAACTTTCAGCTCTGTCTTCTGTGAATTCCTTTACAGAGGAAATAGCTCTATTTCACTAAAGAATTGAAGTGTTCACGCAAAGAAAGGCTCAATTTACCTACCGCATGCCCAAAGTAACTGATGATTTTTCCTTTCCTTTTCAAGGAATACTGCTATTTTGATCAACAGCCCATTGATTTACTAGTAATAGCAATTCGCAGACTGTGCAGACTGATTATATATAAATGTAGTTATATTCACAACCTAACTATATCTATGTATAACTATAGAAAGATATATACATGTGCATATAACCTCTCAGGAGATGGGGTGGGGAAGGAAGCTAAAGCATACTAAGTGATTTGGCATACACCTCAACATTGTATTTGCAACAAACATACATGGTATTGGATAACTCTTACACTGTGTCTTTACTATAAAAATGTCCTTACAAAGGCAGGGTCTGTATATTGACAGATAGACGAATTCATCTAACCATGATACAGAAGAATAAGAACGAGCAACTGGACAATTATGAGATGCATTTCATTATCTATATGGGTTTCATCAGTCTTCTGCTGGGAACTGGAGTCTAACCATGACCAGATAACCATTCAGTTATGAAGAGGTTAACACACAGCTTAATATAGACTGCTGTTTGCCAAATGCTGACGCTGCTAAAACAAATGCCATTGTCTGGAGTGGGTTAAACACAATTGAAATATGTGTGCAATAGCTGCCTTCCACTTGGGATAAACACAAGAAATGTTTGTGTAAACAACTCCCTAGCACCAGCTAGCTCTAACAGTGCCAGCAGAACTCTTCCTAAACCTTGAGCAAATGTGTCTGTTTACAGCAAGCAAAATACAATGCGCATCTGGGTGGAGAGGCTCTACCACCTTTTGTTCTCTGAAGGCTTTTGTATATATTAAGGACAGACTTTTAGGCTGTAGATAGAGACAAAGAAGGGTTGAAAATATATTAGATATAAGACAGAAATTCTTCACTGTGAGGGTGGTGAGGCCCTGGCCCACTGGTGGAAGGGGTCCCTGCCCATGGCAGGGGGGTTGGAACTGGGTGATCTATAAGGTCCCTTCCAACCCAAACCATTCTGTGATTCTATGATTCTATGAAAACACAAAAGCAAACTGGCTGAGCCCTGGAAACATGTTTTTAGCACCTTCTGGACTGAACATTGGTTGAAAGCATTTTGCATCTGTAATCAAAGAAACTATCATTTCTAGCATTTTCCTGTGTCTCAAGAAAAATGATTTTTTTTGTATATTAAAAAGGAGGAGTATCTCGCTAGGTCAGCAGTTTTCCAACCAAAACAATGCAAAGGCCAAATATTTGCTAAAAATGCATACCTCTCATATATACTGACTTTTGTTATAGAAGTAAAACAGTAATATGGCTGAATGAATTGTAACTAGTGGCATTACAGTGTTTTAGACAAAAAAAGGCTATAAAGCTTAAAGAGGCAAAGAAACATTTACATCTTATTTTCATATAATTGTTATACGGCATCTTGGGCAGAAGATACAAATGAGAATTGGATTATAACACAAAAATTTAATGGCAGACCTTATTTTGAAGTGCTGGGAGAAGGGACAGTGGTTTCTCTGTGCTGTTCTGACAAATGCTGGCTACGTTGTGACTTACGGCTTAAAAGGCAACGCACCAAAATTTAGTAGAAACACATGGAATGCAGGCCACTGAATAGACCTTTCTCCCATAGCATCTGAGGCAGGTAGGGAAACGTAAAAAAAAAACGCTTTCTAGATAAATTATTCCTTAGACCTAACTGCCTTATGTCTTCTGTACGTTGCTTATTTTTCAACTGTAGTGGGCAATCTTTTGTAATAATGAACCTATTATTTTGCAAGCAAAATATGTACCATATACTGGAATAAGTTGTTCCCTCTTCAAACACTAAAAAATATATATTGGAGGTGTTCCTTTTGATACCAATTGTTTAGAGCTCTTTTTACAGAGATCGTATGGTTTTAAAATACCCCTTTTCAAACAATCTTTGTAACACAGCGTTTGCTTCTATGCCGAGATTATAACAAAATGCTTCTCCCTGGTACTTGTCAAGGTGATCAGTCTTGACCCAAAATGATTTAACAAAGGGATAACAAGTGTCTTAAGTCACTCAAGTAGCAGGCTGCTACTTCTGTTAATTTACGTGAGATAGTTCTGTGCCACGTTCAAAATTACAGTGATAGCATATCACTTACAAGGTTCCTCTTGAAAAAATAGAAGTCAAAAAATAAAAGATGATAAATCTATGCAGTTCTGTCAAAGAGCAAAAAGATCTTTGATGGTTCCCATCTGACAGTCATTTACTCAGCTGATTAATCAAATGACACTGCAATTCCATTGTAACTCTAAGACAATTACCTAGCAATTACTTGAAGGAAATTAGAACCTGGGTATTCAACCCATCATCAGCACCAAACTACAAATTAATAAAACCGGATGATTTACAAAATTGTACGTTCCTGCATGAAGAAGGGTATTTTTGTACCGCTGTCTCATAACATCACTCCTTACTAGTTAAAAGCCACCTCCTAGTTTCCAGTCTGCACTTACTCATGGTCAGTTTACATTTGTTTGTTCTTCTGTTGGAAGCCTCTCAGGTTAGACAGGATTCCCTCCTCCTTGGGGTCTGCACTATCACGAATTCACAGAAAGCAGCAGTATTCTCTCTCAGACTTCATTTTCCAAGGTTAAATAAGCTGATCACTCCACAGTGCAGCACCCTGTAAAGATGTCTAAGCTGGGCTGGACATCAAAAGCAGTTTAGCTCTGCAAAGAGCATCTGCCTGGATCACCTTATCTTGTTTCTCCAAGTAATCCTACGTACTGCACTGTGAAATGTATACTCACGCGTGTGAAAGCCTGTCCTTGTGCAAAAGCCTTTGCAGCCTGCACACCAGTTTCATCATCCTTCTCTGTAATGGTGCCACTCGGAGACCGTCCATGAACACACGTACTCAGGGTTGGATGGAGAAGCGCTGCAGAGATCTCACAAAATTCTCATCCAACCGTTTTTTTGTTTCCCTATACATCATCCAAATACTTCTTCTGACATATGGTAATACCTCAGTGATCATCTGGTGCACACGATTTTTCTTCTCTTTTCCAGCTGACTACCTCTTGCAGCAAAGTCAAAGTTTTGCTGTTAGCTTACAACTTACGACTTTTCACCTTGTTGTAGGAAGCATCCAAAGCTCTCTGCATCTTCCCATATGCCACCCACTACCACTTCGTAGTGTCAGTGCTGCTCTACTTTGTGCCACCACTGCACTTTGCCCAGGCACGTTATTTTCTGTTGCACAGACTAGTCCTTTAGGACCGGTGAAATGCCTCTCTTTGTTCGCCACTCCCTCACAGCTGTCTTTTCCCATTAGTCTACCTCTTGATAGAGGGGATTGTAAGAAACGTGAAACTATAACAAAAAAAGCCTTAACATTTTCTAGATTTTAGTAGTCTTTAGTACTGTAACTTGTATTCCTGCATGCACAGTCATCTAACGATGTAACTGTTGCACTAATCCCTGTTTTCTCATTAAGGAATGTAGTGGAAGGACATGGGCACAAGCTATCACTTAGTCGTTAGACAAAATAATTAAGAGAAACAAAAGCGGTCTCGGTTCCCAGCAAATAATTGGGATAATTGTGGGATAAAAGAGACTCCTAAATAACTCTACTCCAGACAGCTCGGCCTTGGGAGGGCAGATGCGCCAAGCTACAGAGATAAGGAGGTACCAAGAGAGCAGGAATACTGGAGCCAAACAACCTGAAGGACACGATGGACATGATCCTGGAACTGAGTCTGCGTAGAAACAAATGCCAATCAGCGAACAGCGTGATGGAGAGGATGGGCCTTCATCTTGGGACCCCTGAAGACCACCCAAAGATGCTAACAGACATGCGTGAAAGATATTTACATACGCTAACTGGTTCCTAGAAATATAATGAATAATGACCTGTGTGATTGTATTTAACCTGAAGCAACAGGGTGTCTGGTGCACACGTTTGGAGGAGAAATCCCCCGTGTGCCCGGCACCGCAGTAAAGAATCCCTGCTGAGCAGTGTGCGTTGTGCTGTTGGGTTTTTCCTACCGGATCTTCGAATCACTCTTACCACGTTCGAGTTCTTGGACTAATCCTCCTTCATTATTATTTCACTAATTATGTGACATATCATGTATTTTACTGCATTTATCTTATCAGATAAGAGTATCAGACTAGTCTGCCATGATCTAAGGATGAACACACAGTC